AAAAAAAAAGGGAACACGTGCACCCAGATGCAGGAATCTGACCCTGAGGTTCCTGCAAGAAAACATGGTAAGGGAAGGAGCAAACACAGTGTTGTGGGGATGTGGTACAAACCACCAAGTCAGGCCGAAGCTCTACATAATACTCTACTAGGTCAGATCACCTGGACAACTCTCAGAGAACCAACTCAGCCAAGACAGCAAGCAAAATCCTCAAAAATTTCATTCAAGCAGGTTAGATGATTGAAGAGGTAAAAGTTGTGGAGACCTTGACAGGAAGAGACTCGTGTCTTCTTGGGGTGCAAGATCCATCAGAAAGAAGATCTGCTACACAGTCGTATATATGCACACTAGGTTCAAGAAGCAAATTTAAGCAAACTTATAACAGAGGGAATCCCGTGGACTGAAATCCTCATATTTAAGGGAGTCCTGGAAGACTGGAAAGTGCTTCAAATAAGGGTTAGGGGTTACAAATTGTACCCCATACCAAGGCAGAATAAGGGGGCAGCTTCAGAAGCCGTTCCAATTTCAAGGGACAGAAAATGAGCATAACCACCACGGAGGAGGAGGACTTGCACACGGCTTATATTTGCAGGACAAGTATGAGAAACCGTAAAAAAGCTTCTGCTTGCAAGTGAAACTCGAGGATGCAAAAGTTGGTAAGATGGATGGTAACAGGCGATGGAAAGAGGGCAGAATTACTTCGCTTTAATCTTTTCTCCAAAGGGAAACTATCATCTGGTAAAAAGGACTAAAAACCCAAGGGAAATAAAGAGACGGTTAGGAGTCCCTGGCCAGCATTAATGCAAATTAGCCTTGAGAATCAGATCAAGAAAACTAGAGAAGAAGAAAGGTCGTTCCTGTCTTGGAAAGAGGGGACTAGAGTGACCTCAGACCAGTCTGTTGATAGGAACCACCAGATTATGCGGTACTTCATTTGTGAGCATTTAGAAAAGAAGGCATTACTTGGCAGGACAGAACACAGGTTTAGCAAAAATAAATCATGACAAGCCAACCTCAACTCTTTTCTTTTTGTAAAGCTGACCACAGGAATGTGGTATGTATACTGTACCTTAACTTGGCTTGAGAAAAACATCTGACAAAATCTTCTGATGAGATTCCAGTACAGAAGGCTGCAAAACGTGGGCCGGACTATGTTACCAACAGACGGATTCAGTGGTTGAATAATTGTACAAAAAGGGGATGAGTGACCTGGATAGATCTGCCCAGGGCTGTACCACAGGACTCTATTTTGGCCCTATTTTGTTCAAGATATTTATAAATAAGTTGGATGAGGGGGTGGAAAAAGACAAGGCAACAATTGTGACTATTCGAAAAATGGCCAGAAATTGGCCAGAGGAATTTTAAAAAATGAGAAGTACAGTTGGATAGGGGAAAAAACTTGCAACAAATGTCAAAAATAATAAAAGAAAGTTCCTTTCAACATATAAAAAACAAGAAAAAAGTCAAGAAAACAATTGGTTCACTCATGAGAGAAGGCATCGAGGAAATAACAGAGAGTACAGAGAAAGCACTGATAATTGGCTCTATGCTGTATCAGGCCCCGTCTCTTCTTTAGCTGCACTAACTGTTTATACTTCCTCTTAAGTAGCAGCAGGGGAATCCTTTTTATATTCCTTGAAACAGGAAGTTGTTTCTTAGCTGTGCGGCAATCGCCATTGAACCAGGGTTGGTTGAAAGAGCTCCGACTCTTACCCATGCTAGATCAGAGGTAGGGAACTATGGTCCTTTTATGACTTGTGGACATGTCTGGCTCGGGAATTCTGGGAGTTGAAGTCCACAAGTCATAAGAAGGCCACAGTTCCCCATCCTACGCTAGATGGATAGGTAGAGAGAATGGCTGAAGAAGGCTGAATGGAGGATGGCAAGGTCTGTTCGGGGACCTGCTGTCCACAACAGCTGTATGTAACTGAAGCACCTCATTGGTGGAAAGCATTTGAGTCCATTTCTCCTTTTTCTGACCACAGAAAACCACTTTTTGTTTTTATTTATCCCTTAGGAAGGGCATCAAAAGCAACCCACTGGCATAGAGAACACTCCTAGGATGGCTGTCAATGTGAAATCAAAGAACGGAGGCAGATAAGTTTCTTGACGAGTCAATCAAGGAAAGCCTTTTGCCTGCCCAGTGTGGGAACTCTGGGCCGGGAGGCCATTAACATTTGTTTTCCAAATGTCATAGCTTTAAAAATGACCGCACAATCCATATTGGCAACCTACGGGTATAAAAACCAGAAAATTTGCTCTGGTCCAAATTTATGGAAATTTCTCCTAAATCTTTTGCCAGGCCAACAATGATTTATTTTTCCCTTCTCTAACATGGTATTCAAAGGCCACAGGGAGAGCAGATTGTTCCTGACTAAAAATAGCAGCCCCTATTTTCTTTGGCTTTAAGAATGCTGCGGTTTGTCGTCAAAAGGGAGGAAGAATATCTGGCTGGGAATAGTTATGTGAGTAAAAGCCAGCGAAAGGGTCATCCTAACTGAATGCCAGCCTGATCCAACCGGTAAGCCAAACGGTCCCAATGGTGAGAGTTTGTGCAGCAGTACCAATGGTTGGCAACCACGTTTCAGCTGTACTCCAGGATTCTTTGCAAAACCAGAACTCAGATTAGGCACACAACTATGCAACGCAACACAAAAGGACTTCTTCCCCTGTTGCCCCCACGATCTCATTTTTCCTGAAGGTGCCCTCTTATGAAGCCGGGAGGCCAATTCTAGTGTCCCATAAAGGAGCTGAGCTTAGGCTTAGCCTAAAAGAGCTGAAGTGCAGCTGGAACCTAATTTTCTCCCTTGGACCCAAAAAAGGTGGTCCAGCAGCAGCAGCATATTTGCAATGGGCCAGTGACATGCATGACTACTCCTAAATACATAAAGCTAATCATTGGTTTTACTTTATGGCCATTAATGCGCCATTAACGAGCTTCAACCTTTTGATAAAAGCTATAATTTTGATTTTCTGATTATCATTGTTGCAGAAATGGACTAAGTTCTCAGAGCTTTTTTGAGGCCTATTGATGTCTGAAGAGAACCAAGGCTTCATCAGTGCAGAGTAGAAGGGTGATGCTACCATCCTTGGGTTTAGGGGATGGAACTTTGGGCCATGTAGACATCTTACCATACAGTTGACGTAAACACTGAAAAATGGGTGTGTGTGTGTGTTAAATTGTGTTGTAACTGGCTTCGAGAACCGTTGCATTCTGCACCTGACCCTAAGAATCATATGGATTTCTAGGGAGTGAATTAAATTGAGCAGCTTACAATTCATTGATGGATTGACAAGGCTTCCAGCTTCTCCCATAATTTGGTCCTGCATACAGCATCAAAAGCTGTCTTAAGATCTATAAAGGTGGCATGTAATGATAACATGTTGTTAAATATTTTTTGATAAATTGCTTAATTTCAGATACAGATATTGGGAGCTGCCCGGTTAAGTGCTCCATCTTTTGTACTGAGATCTTATTGCAAGACATCTAAAGTGACAAACTCTCCTCTCGTGGAAACTGCTCTCACTGAACTGTAGGGCCTGATCATTGCCACATAGTTTGGTGTGTAACACACAGACACACACACACACACACACACACACACACACACACAGACACTTGATCTGGCTTTCAGAAAAGGATCAGAGAAAAACAACTGGGATAATCACGGGACTTCAAACCAAGTCCTATGAGGACATGTTAAGGAGCTGGGAAGTCCTGAAAAGAGAAAACTGGGAAGAGATATAACAGCATTCTTCAAATACCTAAAAAGATGTCATCACAAAAAACCAAAATTATAGATTTATGTTACAACAAGACAGCTTACGATTGAATGTTACATGACATGCATGCATGTTTAAGTTTAGACTCCTACATGGAGGGGAGAATTAGATTTGTTGGACCCTACATCTCCTAACTCAGGATTATTTTAAGTAGGTAATGCAACCTAATTGCTACCTACAGGAAATGACAATTTGTCTGTCCCCAAATACTGCCTTCCATGGAGGTTCTTCAGCCTAAGTTGCCCCATCTACGGAGATGGTCTAACAATTGGGTAAGCAAGACCCACAATCCTAGGACTACTTTTACGGCATATTTTGTGCCTCCCAACATTTGATGACAGGATTTCAGGATTTATCCAAATGACTGATCTTCTACTAGTTCATACTTATCTCTTGCTCCAAGATAGTCAAAATGCTGACTTATTTGGATTCCACCTTTACTGTTTTTACAAATAACTCAAGGTGGTAAACACACCCAACACGTCTTCCTCCTCGTATCTGCCCCACAACCACCACCTTGTGAGGTGGTTGGACTGAGCAAAAGAGACAAGTCCAAAGTCATCCAGCCAGCTTTCATAAATAAGGCAGGACTAGAACTCACAATCTCCTGGTGATTGGCCCAAGTCACCCAGCTGGCTTTCATGGCTAAGGCGGGACAAACCTACCATCTCCAGGTGATTGGCCCAAAGTCAGCCAAGTGACTTTCATGGCTAAGGATGGATTAGAACTCAACATCTCCGGGTAATTGGCTCAAGTCACTGTGCAAAAATTCACATGGTGGCAGGTAAAAGGCTAGTACACTGGATTTTACCAGCACCTGCCTGGTACTAAAGCTGCTCCTCAGAGAGCGGCATAACCAAGGTAATTTGGGGGACAAAAGAAATTTATTATTATTATTATCAGTACCCAATTTCCTAAGGATTTGACCTATTATTCACAATTTGTCTCTGATTTTGAAATTCACACAAACGAAATTGAGCCTCATTTAATGTATAATTAGTTGCCCGTGACCTTTGTACACACATACATTAATTCCCTACAAGACTCAGAAATGCCTAAAACCTTACTTACTAGGAAGTCTTCTTCACAGTAGACCTTTCCATTAACATTGTAGAAGGCTTTCCCTCGTAATCTTCTCCCTGTTAAAAATATTGCACTGTCAGACCTTTCATATTTTTGGGGTATTACAAAAGGGGATTAGAGGCAATACGATGGATAGGAACGGTGGGCTTCAGGAGTTTCTGCTCAAACTACAGTTGTGGGTATAAAAGCTATTTTTCACATAACAGAAGGGGGAAAGTGCCAAATATAATATATACGCAGTCATAGAAATGTATGTAATTCAGGAAGTTGAAGTTTAATTAGAAGTTAATTAAAACAATTTGATCCTCTAGCTTCCTGGGACTCGGTCGAGATGTTAATCGGCTTCCGAAAGCTTGTACTGCTTTAGAGCAGGGGTGTCAAACTTGATTTCACTGAGGGCCACATCAGGGTTGTGTCTGACCTTGGGGTGTGTGTGTGTGTGGCTAGCTTGATGTCACTCATGTCAGGAGTGTCTGTGGTGGCCTGAGTGCTCTGCCAGCAAAAATGGGCTCCTGAGCTCCATTTTCGGCTGTGACAGCCTCCTGCAATCCTCTGCCAGCGAAAACGGAGCTCAAGAGGGCTCCCGGGCTCCATTTTCGTGGGCAGAGCTCTTGGGCCACCACAGGTGCCCCCAACAGAAGTGATGTCGAGCTGGCCACGCCTATCCGGCCCCCACGGTCAAATAAATCAAGTTGGACACCCCTGGACTATATTACCACTTCTAGAAGCCTCTGTCCCTTTACATGGACTTTACGAATGTACTATTGGCCCAAAATCAGTCCTCTCCCTACATCGTGAGATTGTAGGCTTTTGGAATTGGGATGGAGCCATGTCAGACGGCCCTCCCAACTCACAGACAAATGGAACAAGCATTAGCCTCAAAGAGGGGAGTTTGAAACAGATACCCCCATTGTCCATAAACATCTTACACAGCTCTCACAACAACAGCAAGTAAAACCCAGCAAGAGCTTTCCACTCCTAAACCAACCACGAGCAACCAAAACTGCCAGAATACCAGGCTTCAAAAAATAGAGAGAACGCCCCCCCTGCATCACAACCTCACAAGGCTCAACTTAAAAGGGTGATAAAAGAGACCGGTATAAAATGAAAGAGGCATTTAGGCACACCCAACAGCAGTTAATAGGCACAGCATGTGCAAGAATATATTATCTTGCTTTGATATTATATTGCCACCTATTTTTGCACTAAACTGCCTTGAGCTCCCTATTTAATACGGTACCAGTATCAAATGGGAGAGCTGTTTTTGAACCCTATGTATGGTAGAAGACTTAGGTATGACACAGAATTCAATTTAATCAACAGTTCATATATGCTCGGTAAGCTGAAGTTGCAAAGGATTCCAAGAATTCAGCCCAGACAAGCTGCCAGGCATAGATTTATTATAGCTGAGATTCTTTAAAATAATTTGGACTGGTGGACTCTGGTATTAGCCTTTCTGTTTACATACATTTATCATACTGTGTTGATTCCCCAAGACCCCGAGGCCTTGCCCTAACAGTTCCTGTTTACAAGGAAGGTAGAATCTTTCAATTGATCATGTCCCATCAGTCTATTGAGCACTCTGCAAAATATATGTGAGAAACCGATCCCTAAAGTTTTAGGACTGGTTAGACATAGATAATTAGTCAGGGAACAAGCTGGATTTAAAACTGTGGCTCTATTTTTGATCACGTTGTTATTCTACAACACTTGGTAGAGAAATTATCTTCAAAATCACACATGAAGCTATATGCAGCATTCACAGATTTCATAGTGGCCCATGATTTAAACTTCCACTCTAATCTTTGACATAAACTCCAAAATCCCAACATAGACAGAAGAGCATGTGAGGTACTAATACCACTTTATATAGCCATAGTAAGACCACACCTAGAGTACTGCATCCAGTTTTGGTCACCACACTATAAAAAAGAAAACTGAAACTCTGGAAAGAGTGCCAAGAAGAGCAACCAAGATGATGAGGGGGCTGGAGGCTAAAACATACGATGAACGGTTGCAGGAACTGGGCCTGGCTAGTCTAGAGAAGAGACAGGAGAGCATCTTCCAATATTTGAGGGGCTGCCACAGAGAGGAGGAGGGGGGTCAAGCTATTCTCCAAGGCACCCAAAGGCCAGACAAGGAATAATGGATGGAAACTGAACCAGGAGAGATTCAACCTGGAAGTAAGGAGAAATTTTCTGACAGCAACAGAAATCAACCAATGGAACAGAAATTGCCTTCGGAAGTTGTGGGAGCTTCATCATTGGAAGCTTTCAAGAAGAGACTGTCAGAAATGGTACAGAGTGTCCTGCTTGGGCAGGGGGTTGGACTAGATGACCTACAAGGTCCTTTCCAACTCTGCTAACATTCTGTTATTCACCTGTCTACAAATTCTATGATAACTCAACTCTAAAAATCAGATGCAACTACTCTCAGAATCACTATCCCAAGAAAACTGCTGTTTACAGAGTTCAGTAGGGATACATTCATTCTTTAAGTATTATATCAATTTTTTAGGACTTTCACACGATTCCTCCAACCTGGGAAACTATGATAGAGCATTCAGCGCCCCGGATGAAGATTGTAATGCAGAAGCCGTAGAAATTAAGTACAGCACAGTAAAACATGCTGGTATTCACAAAGTACCTTAAACACACCCAGGAATTCAGCAAGTCAAGTCATCCAAATATCTCAGCACTGTATTTCAAGCCGCAACCAAATGTAGGCTGCCTATGAAATAGGCCATTCAAAAAGCCCTGACAGAGTTCTGGAAACTTTCTTTTATGCTCAATGTTCCTGCTGCATATTTAACACATTCAGCCCAACTCTGGGTGCAATTACTGTTTGTGGTTCAGGTGCACACTGTTCTTCTTTTCTCCTTTGGATTAAATTCCTCAAGATTTTTTTTTCAAGTTTCGTATTATGTCTCAAACATGACACAGTGTCAAAGGTAAGTTGTCCGTTAGCAAGACTGAAGCTATTACCCTGGATTTTTTCACATACAGGACTAAACTTCTCTTCTCCCTGTCATGACTAACCCCACTTTTTGACAAATTTATTTTCTCTCGGGTCAAGGCACTACACAAAAAAAGGGCAACTTCTGGGTTTTTCCTTAGCTCACGAGAATCAAATTTACCATCCATTTTGTATTGGGACTTGCCGTGAATTCATAATTACACACTTAATTAAATATCCTGATCGGTATTACCTAAAACTTTCAGATTCAAATTATTTCAGTTCCTTAAATGTGCCCAAATTTTATGAACTTATAATCTGTTAACCTAATTGGTGAAATAATGCTATGTATTTTATGAATGTCAGGTATTCTACGAACAGGTCACTGGTCACAATAAAGATTCTTGTTTCCAATGCTGAGGTCCTACAATTGACATTGCTTAAGAAGAGACACTAAGTTGGGGAAGATTACTATAAAGGAACATTCCAGAAGTCAAACTAGAAAGTTTCTCCTGGCAGACTATCTTCCTAGGACATGCAGGCATCTCTGGGCAATGAGAAGTAAAAAAAAAAAAAAACACACCATATGTCAGCTGGTGCTCCGTTAAAAATCCAGGAAAGAAATACTTAAGACTCTTGTAATTAGAGAAAATATGTCTTTTACTGGAAGTCAAGTGGTAGCAACAAGAGAATTCCGAATCTGAGGAAACAGGCACGTGCATCACATGTATCAAGGGAGTGAAATGTTCCCACCCCCAATAGTTCAAACGGTTCTTCCAATTCAAAGTTGTGAACCTCAGCATGTGGACATCTCCAGGTGGTGATGATTAGTTGACCTTGGCTTACTCAGATAAAGGTTTGCAGTTGCGCAGAGAAGAGAAAGCTAAGCAAGAAATAGAAACCCTCCTCAGTTTATACAATATTAGCTAGTAACACCTCCAGCTCACTTCCCATACTTTTCCCCTTTCCTCCGCCCCCCGTTACTCATGACAGCCAGAAAGAAGCAAAGCAAAGGAAGAAGATCTTGAAGGATGACACCATACCTCATGACAACTATATCTTACGACTTTGTGTTGAAGTCACCATAAGGTCTAGGCTGAGCTGAAGAAGCCGTAAGTCAGAGCTCTCCAAACTTGGCAACTTGTGGACTTCAACTCCCAGAATTCTGGGAGTTGCCAAGTTTGGGGACCCCTGTCGTAAGAGGACCAGGGCTACAGCATCGACTTAGGTTTCAAAGTTATCCTCAGCTTTGATCAGTTCGCACCACCACCTCCCTGCTGCAGGGTCTGCTCCAAGTAAATGGTCTACTATTCCTTCTACTTCCCCTGGGGAATGGGACTTTTGATAGTAGTCCTTGACTTACAACTGACAAGTTTGAAGTTACAGTGGTGCTGACCAAAGTGACTTACAATAACCCGGTCCAAAGCCTTACAATCAAAATTGAGGTGTTGGGAAGTCCCTCTGTCTGCATTTATGACTTTCAGGGGGCCCTTTAATTCCCACCCCCCCCGCATGTCCTTTAGGCCCCCTGGATTCCATGCTCCTCCATCTTCCTGCTCCCTCTTCTGAGCAAGCATGCCCACCTGAGCAGGTTTCTTCCCCAGGTTCTGCACGGCCGTTTCCTTGTGAGACCTGGGGAAAAATGTCCTCCCGAAGGGCAGCGGCTGCACGTGGCTGTGGTTTCCTGCTTACAGCGCTGGTGCTTCCTGCGACGGCAGCTGTGTGTAGCGCTGCTGGCTGCGGCCTCTTGCAGCCCCCCGAGCTGCGTGGTCTTGCAAGGCAGGCATTTTGAGGGGGGTCAAAAGGCGGAGACGAGGGAGGAGGCTTGGGGGAGTTGAAGAGAAAGCAGCCTCTTATCTTACCAAGGTTGCTTAGGTTTTGGGGAGGGGGAGTACTTACTAAGCCATGTATAATTCTTGGTTAGTGACGGCAACAGGATTATGCAACTTCCCATTTGTGGCTGCCCCGCTTAGCCATGGAAGTTCCAGTCCCAATTGTGGCGCTTGTAAAATGTGGGGGGGATTGCCTGGATCCCCAAAGTTGCAAAGATGCAGTGGGCTACTTTTTCCAACTTATCTGTTCTCTGTTACTAACCCTCCCC